ATCTCTGCAGAGCTCGGTTCTTGCCTGTGGTGTTTTGACGAGGAGAGTGCAGCACTTCCTCCCCGCCGNGTGTGCTTTCTTCCGTATTTTCCGAGCGGCGAGTTTCCTCGCATCGATCTGTCTCTGCAGAGCTCGGTTCTTGCCTGTGGTGTTTTGACGAGGAGGGTGCAGCACTCCCTCCCCGCGGTGCCCGCGGTTGTCTCCCTTCTCCCGCGAGCGGTGCTTACTGACGTGGTGTTTACGAATCTCTCTACTCCTCCAGCTTCGTGGGCCACGCTTTCCGCGACGGTGGTTGCCAGGTGCAGTTTGCCGCTTTGCATTACTGCCGCGGGAACAGTGTCCATACACACCTCTCGCCACTACCACCGTCTGTGCAACCTCACCGCCACGCTGAGCCAGCGCGGCGGTGAGTTGCACCTTGGGACACCACCCGCCTACTATCTGTTGTGGCCGGGTTCGCCCGCGAGGGACTCACTAGGTCGATTTCGGCCCCGACCGGGGAGCAGGCCGAGGGGGGGGGAAGGGGTGTAACCGGTTAGCCATGTCAAACAGGGTATGCCCAGTGTTCGCTTGCTGTTTTTTGTTGTTGGTCGGGTCATGCGAAATGGAGCACGAAGCAGCAGGTCGAAGCTCCTTGAAGTATTGGCCGGCCCGAATATGGCTGTTTTCAGATGGGTTCCTTTTGTCCAAGGTGTTGCTGAATTGTCGTCGTCACTGAATTGTCGTCGCATGTTTACTCGTCTTGTTCGTCTCTCAGGATGCTTCTTCATCAGCGATCGGTTAGCCATTAGCCAAACAGCGGGGACCAATGCTGGCGTTCAGAGTGCTACGGGTGCCATTTGCGAGGTCGCCGATGCGTCGTTGGAGGCGCTTGGCNGCTCCTTGAAGTATTGGCCGGCCCGAATATGGCTGTTTTCAGATGGGTTCCTTTTGTCCAAGGTGTTGCTGAATTGTCGTCGTCACTGAATTGTCGTCGCATGTTTACTCGTCTTGTTCGTCTCTCAGGATGCTTCTTCATCAGCGATCGGTTAGCCATTAGCCAAACAGCGGGGACCAATGCTGGCGTTCAGAGTGCTACGGGTGCCATTTGCGAGGTCGCCGATGCGTCGTTGGAGGCGCTTGGCAAGAACACGGTGGTGGACGCGACGCCTATCTTTTTCAACGGCATCAACGGATGTCCGTACGCGGGTTTGACCGCGTGTATCTTGCAAGCCCGAGCTGACGCGTTCTTGTCGGAAGTCGAAGAAACGTTGATGTTGGGGATGATGGCGGAGGCAAAGACATCGGCGTGTACCCAGTCGTCCAACTAGGCTAGTGGGGATACGCCGTGAGCGAGAGGCGGAGTAGACCTTGCGAACTGGACTGGGCCCATGTGAAGTACGACAAGGGTGACGGCAAGGGCAAGGGCAAGGGCAAGGGCGCATCGAGGAGGATCACTGCTGCCCGGGGCTTGATGTGCAAGGTGAGGATATTTGCGCTATACTGGGAATCTTGCGACAGTTCTTGGAGTACGGAACGAATATGAAATGCGTCGCTGTGCATTGCGCTGTGTGCGACTTAAATGCCATGCCAGCCGACTGGTGGTTTGTGCTATTATCGGCCTTCGATATCTTGCATATCGAATGTCTCGAAGTTTGAGGCCGAAAAGTGAGGTTTTCAGGAAAAATGCGTGCTCGCACATTGAGTGAGGGGTCGGTACCATAGGCTGGGTTCTGTGACACCGGGTTTATGGCTTCAGAGGACTGCGTTCGCTAACGTGTATTGGCAGTCAAGTGGTAGACCATTCCAACGATATATCCTGCCGTCTTGGGGTTTCGTATGTGCCGGAAAATTGATTCACAATAATTGTGTTACCGTAGTCGACGGCGCCATACCGAATGGACTTAGCCTCTTCAATTGTGCTCCCCCGAGGGTAAATACAAAGGTGGGTTATTTTCCCACGTGAATACGCCGGGGGTTGATCACCCCTGGAGGGAACAGAAAAAAAGCCTCCCATTCACGAACTCTGTGTCCCCGCAATGGAGAATACGCGAGCAAGCGTTCGACGGATCACGGGTACCGTCCAAAAACTGCATGTCCTCTGGGTGCGTCAGCACTGACGCGTTGTGACGGTGACATGCTCGTGAAAGATCGTCCGAAACAAAACGGGGGGAACTCACAGCAATGGCTGGAGCGTGTACTTACCCCGGGGGCAGATTTGAAGGGGGGGGGGGGGGGGGGG